AAACCTCTGCAAAGGTTTTTAAGAAGCAGCAGCTCCACAAAGGCACAAACCTGCCTGCTGTTCGCGGGCTGTGCTGCGTGTGCCTCCCCCCCGTCCCTCGGAAGCTCGGCGGTAACAAAGAGCTCAGCACAATGCTCYTGCTTTTCACAACGATCCCAGATAAGGGAACGCTAATCAGACCGGAGCAGCATTGTCAGAAGGCATCTCGGCAGGGCCTGTCTCGCAGGGATTGAGACTGACAGAGGCATTTTCTATTATTGTCGGATGCTGAGGTGTGAGTGTTATCCCTGCACCCATCACCCCGGCCGGAGACTCCTCCTGCTTTGTCTGTGCTCGTTCCGAGCACGGAGAAGGGAGGTGAATAAATCCTAMGGGGGATGGAGGGGAAGGGGGACAGAGGAAAAGGAGAAGGCAGGCAGGGTCGTGGAATGCGAGGGAGAGGCAGAACAGATGGGGTGGGGACGGGGAGATGGAAGAGCAGGAARGGAAAAGGCATCACCTGTGCTTTCAGCCTGGAAAGCAGAGCCCTGCTGTGCTGCTCCCCATCCTCCCTGAGCTCCCTGGGTTTGGCTGGGGGGCTGATTCTTCTCTCATTATGTAATTCCGTTCAGTTAAAATCAAAGTAATTGGAGAAGGAAGACCCCTCTCCCAGGATAATGGAAGCACCTGAGTATGTTCTGCAAAACGAGTGAAAGGCACCAGGTGTGGTTTTATCTGCRTTTGTGGTGGGGAAGGCTGTTCCCAGCTCCAGCAGCATCAGCCTGGGTGGGTTTTGGGTGCCACCAGTACAAGCCAAAGGACTGGGAACAGGCAAGAGCTGGGGCTGTTTTTTTCCAAGACATCTATTCACATCCATCTCTTAAGTCTCAGGACTAAAATATTGACAAGGATGTGCCTGTATCAACATGAATTTTTAGGAATTATTTGGATAAGCTAGTGACCAAATTCCACARCTCTGCAGTGACACCATACTTGTGGTCCCAAGTGCATTGAGTTGCTCTCACGATACTTTTTGATAAACCAGACATTTGTTCTACAGATTTCAGTGCTTAAACGCTTTTCAAAACAACTGGGTTATGCCTTGACTTACTTGTGAGCGTGAAATTTAGGCTTGTAGGTCATTTTAAGTTATGTCTTTTCTAGCTGGGCTCGGATTTCTGGAGCCAAGTGACTGCAGGCAGCTGTGCCCAGCCTGACTTGGAGCCAGCTCCCCTGGCACACGAGTTTCCAGGCTCTGAGCAGTCTGTGTGGCTACAGCCAGGCTTGAAATCAGCCAGGAGCCTTCCAGCAGTGCATATCAGACTGCAGACATCTCTGCCTGACCCCAAATTTAACCTAAAACCTCAGCCCCTGCTCTTCAAAAATGTCAGCCCTACATGCAGGTACTGTTGGCCAGGGAGTCCTGATGCTGAGCCCTGAGCAGGAGCGTCAGCTGATGGTCAAAGTAATTTCTGGAGACCAAAGATCTATCAGCTAAAAAAAAAAAAAAAAAGAAAACCTCAAAATTGTTCTTTTGACTCTCTTTGTATTGATCCAAACTCCACCTTGGCCACAGAGCATTTTCTAAATCTCTGCTGCTGCTCCTGGTTCAGTCTCAGGGGAGCCACACACAGAGGAGAGGGATGGATACAATGCCCTGAAGGAGTGACCTTTAGGGGCCCAGGGGACAGCCCCCATGAGCATGCTGCCWGGAAAAGGGATTCTGAGGGACAGAATGGTCCAATTCACAGCTCAGATACAGGTAAGAGCAGGATATCACTGAACCTGAGTGCTGCAGGGCRGGTTCACACCCCTACACCTGTCCCCTGAGACTTCCTGGCCAAATTATTCCCTTCTGGGATAGTGCTACACAAGATTTGCYCCCAGGAGCTGGGTACAGGCTTGCTCCATTTCCTGTGGAGCTGAGGAGGAGGAGGAGGAAGGGCAGTGTGTTGGTGACAGTGAAGCCTCACCTTCCTTTTGGGTTGGCTCCTTGTGAGGGGAGAGCAAAAACTCTGACCCCGACAGCAAGATGTAATTTGGCCATATCCCAAACTCTGAGCACCTGGAACCTTCTCTGAAACAGATTTTAGGGCTCAGAGGAGCAGGGCTGTCAATCCAGGGACAGCTGGGCCGTATAGCTCTCACTTTGGGGTGTCCCTGGCCAGGCTTAGGCTGGGAAGAGCTGTGGTTCCTCAGCAGGGAAGGGGTTCCAAGGAAGAGCAGAGGAATAGACAGAAAAGGGAGCACAAATCTCCTTGACAGCCCCAGCTCAAATCTCCCCTGGCTGCAGTTTCATTGCTGTTTTCCTGGAAAAACAGAGCAGGCAGGAAGGTTTGCTGCTCCTCACCTGAGCATGGGCTCGCAGGAGGTGTTGGGTCCCACGGCAGCGATGGAGCTGGTGTAGATCAGGAAWGGGATGCTCAGCTCACAGCAGGCCCTTAACACATTTTCAGTACCTGGGGGCGGGATGGGAAGGACAAATGTTCACCACCTTGCCTCGATTCCTGCTGGACAAATCAAAACAGATCCCCAGGCTTTTCCTGACTTGGAACAGATTATTTTCTTCTCATTATTTTCAACAGAATATTTTCATCTCTTTTTATGGCTGAAAAGATGTAAAGCCCTGGAGAGCATCCTGGGAGCAGGGCAYGCTTGGTTCAGAGCTGCAGCTGGTCCCTGGATCATCAGGGAAGCTGTGCTGGACATTTTCCTGCRGACAGAAAATTTTTAGGGCTTGCTGGGAATAACACGTGGAGATTACAAGAGTGTCAGGGCTGCTGTTTCTCAGGAGGGGATGGTTTATAACAGGAGCAGCAGCCACATCCAAAGCTCTCATTGGGCTGAGTCTCCATGGCCATCAGCCACTGAGTTAACTTGGACTTTAGAGCTGCTAAGAAAGGGAAGTTGAGAGCTTGGCAGAGGAAAAAATCCATGTTTAATTTTTTTTTTTTTGTTCGTGGACAGGTTGTTGGTGAGCTGCAGCCTTGTGGCAGAGGGGTTTAATTGCATTGATTGCTCTTTAGAAGTTCTGCAGGGTGCTACAGGGTGAAATCATTCCATCAGACTACTGAGAGCTGCAAAACTTTAAATAAAATAATAAGGGAAGCTTGCAAGTCCACAAGAAATCCAGACAAATCCAAAAAATGGTTTGGTTTAAGGGAAGTTGTTCTGGCTGAACTGGTTGTTCAGTGTGTGTGGTTCAGTGTGGTTAATTTGGAGTGTTTTGGTGGGTTCAAATGATTTATGACCCTTCCAGGGATGGTTTTTGCATTTATTATGATTTTGATTCAATTTTATCCTCAGTGACAAGGACTGAGGGCCTTCAGATGTGAAAGGAAGCGGCTCATAGGGGTTGGGTTCCAGAAACTTCCACACTGTTTACACCTGGCTGAGCCTGCAGATCTCATGAGRGAGGGTTTGTGATTGCTCTTCTCTTTGCTATTAAGGGCATAATCTGAAATTACCAAGGAAATCCTGAGTTTAGGGTAATCTCAGAGCTCATGAATCCATCTGAAATCCCGACAATGTGCTTCCCCATGAGCCTATCACAAAATGTAAAGTTAACTGAGAACCCCTGGTGAGAAACACYGCTGGAAACAGCTGAGTTAAAACCCATTCAGCTTAACAAAAAAAAAGCAGATTAAAAAGTCTTTAAGTGACTAGATTGAAAAAATAATACTTATAGAAGAGAACTCTTYAGTTTAGTCAACAAGACTGCAGCAGGATTCAGAAGCCAGTGGCTGAAACGGAGGAGGRAATCAAAGCAGAAGATGTAAATTTTGGCCAGAAATGATAATTAACTGTAGCCACACCACTGCTCCCCAGCATTGTTGTGGCTTGCTGAAGGCCATGATAGATAGCCCRTTAATTTACACCCATAATTCGAGGCAACAAGTCTTTCGAGAAGGAACGGTCCAATTTAGCCACAAATTGTTGGGCTTRAGGCAGTAATTGGATGAATTTCTGTGGCCTGAGTTGCACAGAGGAGCCAGCTACAGGATTATGTGCTTGACCTCTCCTGACCCTATTTTTCCACATGAAGTCTACAGCAGGTATCAAATACCATTTTTAATCTTGTTTTTGCCTCAATTTCTATAGAGAAATTCAGAGTAATGTCTCAGTCAGTCCAGGATTTTGGGGAGCCCCAGGGAGGGCAGCAGCCCTGTTTTAGGGAAGTCCATGAGGAGCCATCCAGGGGGAGGCAGAAATGCAGGACAGGCTCCTGTTAATCCAGGAGCTCTGGGTCCCTAAAATCCTTGCATGCGTGGTTTTCTGGCAATGTCACCAAAACCTGCAAGAGGTTTGGTTGGCTGAGGAGGGGACTTGCCCAGGCTGAGGGCTCTCTSTGAATCCTCCCTGAGCTGTGGCACACACAGCAGTGAAGGGGAAGAGCTCACAAAGCCACTGAAAGGCAGCAAGGAACCCTCAGGCTCTGCATATTCTCAGCACACAGAGAGCACAGCACAGGCTCTCAAAAGCACTGGGTTTTGAAAACAGCTACAGCCATGAAAAGAAGGATGGAATTTAAATGTTACCCATGAACGTATCAGCAAATAGCAGAAACCCTAAGCAGTAATCAAGTTGGAGACATACATATTTAAAAAAAAATAAAATAACTTCCTTTTGGTTAACAACTATTTTAGTAGCTAACAGCCTGAGGTGCCACTGGAATTGCTGCTGTAATAGGSATTTCATTATTTTTACGGCCTGTGCTTATTTCCCAGATTTATGAACAGATTTTTTTCGAGCAGATCTTGCACCGAACGTGAGGTTGGCTCTGGGAGGTGGAGGAAAGGGCTGTGGAGCTCTTGGTTACCTGTGGGCTGTGTGTAACAGGAGGATGGAGCTCTGAGTGATGAACCTGCAGCACTCTGCAAATTACAGCAGCATCCCTCCCTCCCTGTGGGTGCAGCTCCACAGGAGCAGCCTCGTGCTGCTCCAGACAGGGTGAAATCCCTGGGAAAGCAGTGAGGTATCGATATTGGAAAATATATCACTTTAAAAWWTTTTTATGTAACTTCAGTCAATTCAGTCAAAGATCCTGTTTGCCTTTGCCCTGGGGAAAGGGTTCTAAAGTTTCTTTGCAGGGCWTTGTTCCACCAGGTGAGGCCTGAGGAGGTGAACATCTCAACAAAGCCAGAGTGGCACAGAATAAGGGCCATCAAGGCCATCAGTGACCATCAGTGACCATCAGTGACCATGAACAGAACATCAGCCCCAAATCTCACCCTGGTGTGGTCCAAGGCACCTGGTCTGAGAAAAGAAAGGCAAGAAAGAGAACCTAATTAACATCAGAGGCGAAGAAATCCAGATCCMATAGGAAACCRAATACTGAGAACTGCACAACTTGGACCAATGAACATTAAACCAATAAAGTTCTCCGGGTTTTAACTGTATAAAGTTTGGGGGGAAATCTTGTAAAATCCATGTGTCATGGAATGATTCTCTCTCCACACCCAGGCTATGTGTGGAAGGAATTATTTCTGTGGCATATCCAGGCCAGAAAATAAAGTAATGCCTTGATTCCCTAACATTAAAAATGTTGGAGAGTTTTTGTTTTTCTGCAGTTTTGGTGACATCGAGAACAGGGGTTCATCTCAGCTGTTGTCCTTGTCACACACTGAGCAGTTTGTCATGGCCACAGGTGTGTCCTGAAGCACCTCAGCAGCACCAGRGGAAGTTCTGCCCTCGGCCAGAGCAGCTCTGCACAAACTGAGCCCAGGTTTGATGAGCAGCGGGGAGGAGCAGCGTGGCCAGCCCTGAGCAAGGACAGAGGGACAGAGGGAGGAACCTCCCCGCTGGAAAGTGAAAGGAATGAGAAAGGAATGTCTTTACAAACAAACTGTGGCTCTGGGGTAAGGTAAGAGGATACTGAGAGATGGAAGGAACAATGGGAAGGATTTCCCTGGAATTACTCATTGACAGACCCCAGACAGTGTTAATGAACTACAAGAGCAGAGACACAGAGATGTACATTAAAGGGGGGGATGTACCTTAGAAGGGGGTTTGCATTAGGAATTTTGGGGACCCTGTACCTCTCAAGCACCTCAGCAAYGGGGAAAGAGAGAGGGAACTACGGCCAGGAAATTGGGATAAAAGAGGCTGTGTCCTCTGTCAGTTTGAGAGACCCCATGGGAAATGCCCATGAGCTCTCCCTTTATTCATGAATAAAGTKATGGGACTCCTCTGTCTCCTTTTTGGACATAAACCTCTGGTGCTTGTGGATTAATTTTCCTCACAAAAGGTCCCGGACACCTTCCCCACCTCGGGGCATGCGGGGTTTGGGACAAGGGAGCCCTAAACCCGTGTGGACGTAGCTGTGGGATGTGTGAGAGGCCAGGGCCGTGTTTGGGTCCCCATTTCAGGGCTCACCCCCCACGTTGACGTCTCTCATGTCCTCAAAGGGCACTGTGTCCTTGTAGTCCACGATGGCAGCAGTGTGGATGGCCACGTGCACACCCCGTGCCACGGCCAGCAGCGCGCCCCGCTCGCGGATGTCCCCTCTTGTCACCRTCACGCGGGTGGTGGCTGCAGAGAAACGACACAACACAACCAGAGATGCAGRGAGGGRAAAAAAAGAGAACAAATCATCATCYTCACCTTGCTGCAGWGCCTGGAATTTCCTCTCTGYGRGGCGAGGCAAAGCGCTCTGACAGTGAGTGTGCCCTTTCAATCCCACACTCGAGGGCAAAATTCGGGTTTTTTGGAACGCCAAGAAGCCAGGTTTGCATTTGGTTTAATTCAGCACAGTGCCCTGCATTAAATATAGGCCAGAATAGCTGCATCTGTGGCTGCAATTCCCCACATCCATCCTGGGAGCAGGACACGCTTGGCCCAGAGCTGCAGCTGTTCCCAGCCTGTGGGTCAGGGAAGCTGTGCTGGACATTTCCCTTCAGACAGAAAATTTTTAGGGCTTGCTGGGAATAATACGTGGTGACTCTGAGAGACAACGCACAGAGATTTGTTGAATTGTGAACACTGTCAACTGGGAGGGAAAATAATGTCGTTTTATAAGTTTCATATGAAATTCCTCCCTGTGAGCCGCTCAGAAGGGATTTTTCCCCCATTGCCTTTTCCTTTCTCCTTCCTCTTCCACTGAGTAGCTGTTCCATGGCTACTATTGGCACCTATCATGAATTTTCTTGCTTTGAGACAGCATTGTAACATTTTTTCCTTTTTCCTTTCCAATAGGGATATTTCCAACTTTCTAACAGTTGGGAATAGGCCAGGGAGATGTTGGGGTGAGGAGCCCGTACTAATAAATCATGGATTTGCAATAATCCAGTCAAGGAGTTGGTTTGGGAAGGAGACATSTCCTCTGCCCTGGGCTGGCAGCTGCCTGGAGAGCCCCATACACCCGGGATCAGGGTGGGAATTTCTGCAGGGTCACACCCAGGAGCAGCTCAGGGAAGGGTCTGTGGCTCCAGCTGTTGGGCTGTTATGGTGTGGAAACCCTCAGAGAAGATCCAGCAGGGCAAGGAGGGGAAGACGATTATTTCTCGTGGTCTAAAGGGGGACAGAATCCAAGACAAACCCAAGATGAGGTGGCTGAGAGTTTTCTGAAGAGCCTGGGGTGGAGGAGGAGGAGGCAGATATTTCACATAAGGGTCAGGGGTGCTTTCTTAATTAACACAGCCAAGATTTGGTGGACTTACTCTGAGGAGCTTTAATTTTAATTTAACCTTAATTAACACGGAGTCTTAATATAAAATTAATTCAATAGCAAAGCACAGAGCTGATTCAGTGAGAATAGCGAGGAAAAAGAAAGGAGTTGTGGAGTTGTCCAGGTAGCAGAGGTGAAACCTTTGCCTGRAGGACCAGAGGAGGATGAGAGGAGGATGCTCCTGCTGAGAGGCAGAGCAGGGTGTCAGCAGCATCATGAGGGGAATTTTTCTGCTRCTCTGTGGTTTAGGAGAGCCTGSARCCCCTCAGATYGAAGGGTTAAACAATCTTTTCCACACCACCCGTCTTAAGGCAGCTGGRGTAAGGAAACCRTGAGGAATTTTCAGATTGACCAGGMCTGATGGAGGAGTGGAGGATTTAACTCACTGGAGTGAAGGGTGGAACTGCAGCTTCAGTGCCTTTTCAGCTGCCATGGAGAGCTTCTGGWGGCACTGGAGGAGCTCAGCAGAGCAAACGGAGCACTGGTGCTTGGAAAGGAGGGGAAGCAGAGGCAGGAGRTCGATCGCAGAACATTTTGTTTTCACCGGCAGGAAATTCAGGAGCTTGCACTTAAACCACAGTTAAAGGTGAGTGAGCACCTGTGGGGTAATGGGGATGATGGAAGCAGCTAAGATGGATTTGTCAAGAACAAATCACGCCAGATAAACCTCCTTTGTTCTCCTGATGAGGCATCAGGCTGCAGGGATATGGTGGGGCAGGCTGATGTCATCTCTCTTGATCTTGGAAGGGCTTTGGAAACTCGGCGTCATCCTGGTCAGGAGTCGGTAAAACATGGAATTACAGCTGCCAGGGCATTGCCAGCCGTGGGAGGTGGCTGCCCYGGGGCTCTCCAGGGCTTAGTGCTGCATTTGAGGCTTTTTTATTGTTTTCATCGAGAATCTGGCAGATTTGTTCATTAAATCAGCAGATAACATCAGACTGGGAGGTACCACTCTGGATATGAACTGAATGGAACTAAGTCTGGGGAAGAAAAGGAGSTGAAATTTGATAGGAAAAAAGGGAAGTTGTTTGGTTTAGCAGGGAAGAGGCAGCTGATCATTGTGGGGGAATTAAACTGGGCCAGGGCAGCTCAGGAKCTGCTGGCAACTAAGAAAGGCACAATTGCAGTGACAGGTAACACAGGAGGATAAACTGCAGGATGGGAGAGACAAATCCACCAGCTTTTTGCAGCAGTGGGAAGGGCACAGCCCAAAATTCAATGCCCCCCTCACAAACAGGAGCAATGCAGTGCCCTGCAGAGCTGGATGGAGGAGGAGGAGGAGGAGGAGGAGTGTGTGAGGCTGCTTTAGCCTCAAGCAGAAACCAGGATGGAGCGGAAGGATGTGGTTTGCAGATGGTGAAGATTGTAGTAGGGGAAAAAATAAAAAAAGAAAGAAAAAATGTCAGTAATGCTGTAATACCTCTTGTACCTGTAAGTTGAGGTGGGAAATGGAGGCTGTTCCCACTGCCTGTTGGGGCAGAAATAAACGGGCTGGGGTGGTCTGGGACAGAGCAAATGTGTGGGGAAGGTATGGTGGGACTGGCTCTGCCCTGGGGCACAGGGATGGGGCYGCTGCCTAAAAATCAGCCTCACCTGAAACAGAGGCCAGACAAACTGAAGAGAATGAGAATAGAAAACTTTAATCCAGGCCTAACAGGCCTACTGGTACATGAGGGCAGACAAAGCCTCCTCCTGAGGCTACACCCAAAACGGGCCCCGAGTCATGAGATCTTCCCTTTTTATAATTTCTGTCTTATTAACACATATTTGGCCTCAATTTTCCAATGATACCTTTAGGTGATGATGTCAACCACCCCAAACTTGCTCCCCCCCCAACTTGCTGTTGTTTATGTATTTTGGGGCTCTGAGGCAGCGAAGCGTCCTTGGATTTCAGGCCCAGAGAGGAATTGTTTTGCCTAAAGATGGGAGAGCAGGAGTTTTAGCACTGTACTAAAGAAATACAAAAATACAGATGCATGAAAATGTAGAAACTAAAAATCCTAAGGCATCAGGGCAACCCCTCGGGCTGCTTCTGCCTCCTCTTCTGTGGTATGCTAGGCTGTCAGGCCACACACCCCTTTTGCAGCATGGATTTGGGCACCTCCCTAAGGTTTAAASTGCTTTTTCTTCAATTATGGGTGCTTTTAAGGTAATTGGCTCCCCAAGACCTGGGCAAACCAGTCTGCTGGGTTCACCTGCCAGCGAGGGATCCTGAGGGTGACGTTTCTCTGGGAGCCTGGACTCACTGTGGATGCATTTCCTCCCTGTCCATATCTCCCAGCAGCATCTCCCTGGGCATTTTTGGCCTCTCTCAAACCCTGCTGAGGGTTTGGGCAGCCAGAGAGGGGACCCAGCCCAGCCTGGCACCCTGAGCTGCTGTGCCTTGTTTGCACGGGCATCCCTGAATCCCATAAAACTGGCTGTTTTCCCCAACATCACCCACTGTACTCAACCCTGCATGAAGRCAGCTCTCAGAGTATGATCAAATGGATTAATTCAGTATCTCTGAGAATGTTTACTGAAACTCACCTCTTTGTTTTTTCAGTTGCTTTGGTTTCTCTCAATTATTTCCATAATTTATCTCACAATGCATACAGTAGCTTCTGAGTTTGGTTCTGTGGCTGTCAGGATTTTAAGTTATTTTTCTCACAACCAGCAGCTGGTTGGAGCAGTCAGGAGGAGATTGTTTCACCCCCTCTGTGCCAGACTGGCTGAGCAGAAGCTGCTGGGCACTGAAGTCCCCATGTCACATACTCTGTGTGACTCCTCTCAGCTGATCCCTGCCTGGGGACTTGGAGTCTCCCTGGGACACCTCTCTTGAGTGATCCATCCCCAGGGATTCTTTTCCTTTGGTGTAGTCCTATCCTGAAAAGCTTCTGAGCTGCAAATTTTCTTCCCTCAGTCTGTTTAACCCAGTTTAACCCARKTTCCTGTCCCRTGCCTGTGACCTCTCACATTATCCCAGCTGCTGATGCTTCAGGATTTCAGTTTCTCTATTTCCATGTCTGTGTAACCCTGTGGTTCTTCAATGGATAACTCCAGACTCCACAGACAGTGCTGAGCTCCTGCTCTCCCATTTTTACACAAAACAATTCCTCTGCTGCCCCAAACTCAAGGACACCTCCCTGTGCCAGGCCCCAAGAGATGGAAACAACAGAGAATTGGGGGGAGCCAACTTGGAGTGAATGACTGCATTGGTTGCAGCTGCAATTGGAGGATTCAGCCCCAAAATGGACAAAATTGATAAAGGGTGAAAAACCCGTGAGCCATTGTCCATTGTGGGTGCAGCCCCTGGGTGGGCTGGGACTGCCCTCAATGCATCTATTTCAACAAATATAACTGCTTTGAATTCTCTCAATTTTGTCCAGCCTCTGTTCTAGGTAAGCCTAGAAAAGAGAGGGTTATGGCCCTAAAGAGATGCTGGTGCCTTTTTCTTACCTGTGCTGAGTTTTTCTACTTCTTCTTTCACTACTGAGTCAAAAATTCTGACTTCTCTGATGTAGTCTTGTTGACACAGGAGCTCCACAATCCTCTCCCCAACAAACCCACATCCTCCTGTCACCAGGTAGACCCAGCCCCCATCCATTTCTGGAGGTGTTTTTGTGGCTGAGGAKCAGAGAGAAGGTGGCTGCAGGAACCTTGTCGTGCACTCAGACMGTGTTTTCTGGGCTAAGTCTAAAGTTTATCTGCCCTAGAATGCAACTGGCTGAAATTAACCCCGACCAGTTACACATAAATCAGATTTTAATGCCACACACACACCAGGGCTGCCACAGACCCCTTCTGGGCTCTCTGGCTCAGCTTTTTGATTCATCCACACATAGCCCGGATGTGCAGGGAAAATCATTCAATGACACATAATTTTGCACGATTTTCCCCCAAACTTTATCCAGTCAAACCCCAGAGAACTTTATTGGTTCAACGTTAATTGGTCCAACATTGTGCAGGTCTCAGTATTTGGGTTCCTGTTGGATCTGGATTTCTTCACCTCTGATGTTCATTATGTTCTCATTCTCATCTCTCTTTTTTCAGACCAGGTGTCTGTGAGCAGCCAGGGGGAGGTTTGGAGCTGGTGCTCTGTTAATGGTCACTGATGGTCACTGATGATCACTGATGGTCACTCATGGCCCTTGATGGTCCTTCTCTTCTGTGAAGCTCCTCAGGCCTCACTTGGTGGAACAATACCCTGGAAAGGAACTTCAGCGTCTTTCCACAAGGCAAAGGCAAACAGAATCTTTTCACTGAAGTTATACAAAAATTTTTAAAATTAAGTATTTTYCAACACTGCAAGGACCCTGTTCCCATGCGCTGGAGATTTGTGGAGAGGTTTTGTGGCAGCAAATCCTTCCCAGGCTGGAAGGGCACGCGGGCTTCATGGGACTGCTGAGTCCACAGTCTGGGGTTCCTGGATGGATGTGCCTTGAGCTGGAATCATCACACACACCCCTCTCTCTCATATCTATCATCTATTTTTAGGAGGAGAAAGTCCTCTCATAATTTGAAAACTGTCTCAGAGCACAGAGTCTACCCCATCCTTCGCCAAAGTGTAACAAAAATTAATTCTCATCGTTGGAATGAGTTTTAACTGCCAGCCCCTGGCTCACACACCTTTCCCTGCTACAGAAAGTGGGTGTTGCTCAGTTTGTCACTGGAGTAAAAAAAATGACATCAGCTTTGTCCAAGKGAGCTTGATCCTGCCCCAAAAGTGGGATGTGGCAGAGGGAAGAGCTCTCCTGTTTCYGCCTCTCCCATAAAGGCTCAGGGATATCAAAGTCAGGCCTGAGCAGCTCCCAGGCTCTCCTTGATGCCAAGCAAGTGACATCCTTCAGGCTGGAATAGTCACATTTGTGTCAATCCGTCTTTGAGTCAGCTTGTCACTGGTTTTGYTGAACTCTTCCTGGAGGGTAAAAAAGGAAATATCACCTCCCTGCTTATTTTTGCTATAACAGAGTAGCAGTTGTTTTTATAGTGTTTCTTGGGAAGTTTAGGGTGAGTTCACTGCTTTCCCCATCCCCAGGCTGGAATGTGGAGAGGTTTCCARCTCCATTGATGTCCAGGGCCATTCTCACCCAGTGCCTGTCTGGATGAAGAGTCACTGCTGCTGAGCAGYGGYKAATGAAGAGTTAAGGAGTGAACTCYGAGAGTGGCTGTGGTTTGTTTGTGAATAAATAGTTTTCTTTTAATCAGCTCCTGCTGCAGGTTCAGCGTGCTCCCCTCTGCCATTGATTTTCCTGGGCTGTGTAGGGCTCAGGAGAAGCCAGCTCCCCTCGCTGTGATTACAATCAGTGGCCATAATGGCCCAGAGACCAACACGGGCCTGATGCTAATTTGGTGCCTGGCAGACCAGCACAGCCACAAATGTCCCAAGAAATTAATTTAGCCTTTTATCCAGCAGCTCCCAATCTGTGCAGCGGTGATTAACACAACTGCCTTCCCTCGGAGGACTTCCTGTGAGGATAAATATATCGGARTCTGAGGTGTTAGGGCTCAAAAAGCGAGATAAATACACCCTGAGAGACCCCAGGAGTGCTGCATGGGAATGTCTGGCGTGAAGTGACCTTGAGCTTGTCCTCAGCAGCGATGCAAAAAGCCCTGTGAAGCAGAGACCTCRACTCTGTCACCAAAACTGCGGGAGAAACAAAAACTCTCCAACAACATTTTATTGTTAGAGAGTCAAGACATTGTTTTATTCTCTGGCCAGGATGTTGTTCTGGACAGGCTGTGCCACAGAAATAATTTCATCCACACACAGCCCAGGTGTGCAGTGAAAATCATTCCATAGCACATGGATTTCACAAGATTTTCCCCCCTACTTTATCCAGTCAAACCCAGAGAACTTTATTAGTTTAATATTCATTGGTCCAACATTGCGCAGTTCTCAGTATTTGGGTTCCTGTTGGATCTGGATTTCTTCACCTCTGATGTTCATTAGGTTCTCATTTTTATTTTTCTATTCCCAGACCAGGTGCCTCTGACATTGCCAGGGAGGAGGTTTGGAGCTGATGTTCTGTTCACAGCCACTGATGGTCACTGATGGTCACTGATGGTCATTGATGGTCATTGATGGTCACTGATGTCCCTTCTCTCCTCTGACCCTCCCGCTCTGTTGAGATGTTCGCCTCCTCAGGCCTCACGTGGTGGAACAATGCCCTGGAAAGGAATGCCAGCATTCTTCCCCATGGCAAAGGCAAACAGGATCTTTGTCTGAAGTTATATAAAAATTTTTAAACTGGTATATTTTCCTACAACTCTGTGGGACATTTCTCARTGTTTTTGAGGCTCAACCCTGGCTGCACTATTGGTGTCTGCATCTCTGCAGTGGCATCTGATCAGAAGGGGGAAAACTGGCTGGGATTTACACATCTTTTGCTTTCATTGGGATGGGAAAAAGAAGTGTGACATCTGTGACAGGAACAGTCCAGGTCCTCTCCTACAGCCCCCCTGACACAGAKCTGCTGCATCTGGAGGGGCAGCTGGTCCCAGAGCAGGAAGGGTTAAAAAGATCTTCACCCCCATCCTCTGCTGGCAGTGGGGATTGTCCCAGGAGAGGAGGGCTCTGGAGACCCAGAGGCTGCTGGAGGAGCCCGGTGCCCAGCAGGTGCCAGGAGATGACAGGGATGGGGTCTGAGCAGCTCTTGCTCTCTCAGCTGAGCCATCTCCACTTCCCTGTAGGGAGAGGGAACTTGTGGAGAGTGAGGAACGCTGCAAATACCAGCAGAGATTAATTCACACTGCTGGGAGGGGCACAGTTCTGTCGGGTGCCTGTTCCCCCCTCACAATCTGCTGCAGCCACCCATCCTGAGTGCATGGAGAGAGCTGAGATCCCAGAGAAAGCTGAGATCCCTGGGGTCTGCACTGACACAAAACACCTGCAGGAACAGGAGGAGGCTCTCCATCCCGTGTCTGGGATGTGCCCCTGTGTTCGGGATGTGCCCCCAGGTCTTGGGTGTGCCCCCATA